TGAAACGATGGGGTTTTAGTTGGGTTTGAACTTACCTCTGTAAGTTATCTGGGCGCGGATAAGTATGCTGTTGGTCCGGGCAGAATGGGCATACATAACCTGGCGAGTCATGGACAAGGCCGTGTCGTTTCATTTCGTTTTTGCGCTTGAAGCCCTTTTCCGCCTTCGGAGCGCGGACAGCCCTTTACAGGACAGTAATATGGGCGATTTTGGGAGTGGACGTTTGCGTGAGAGCTATGTCGAGATTGTTAGATAACGAAAATATCCCATCCAAAAATTCCCCCTCAAAACACTATCTAGAAATTGACGTACTTGAGAAGATATTGTGTTGACGGGTCAGCTTTGCCACCCGGAATAATTGCATTTAAAACCCAGAAAGAATTAACGGGCCCAGTAGATGTCGTAGGTCCGTTTGACTGAACTGGAGAATCATAGGGATGGCTCTTCACCAACTCAATTGGTGTAGGATAGCCAGTACTCGGGCTACTTGTATATTGCGATCCAGGGCCACGTGAAGAATGAGAATAAGATGTGCCCTTATCCGTTGTTTGTTGCCAATATGGTTGTTGAGGTGGTCCAGCTACTGGGGATAGACTAGCAGACATATCTCTCAAGCTTTCTGGGGAAAAAAATGACGATGCTCCTGACGCCGGGGGGGGTGGAACGTAATGGTCGGAAAGACGACGGTTGTGTGATTCTTGCGGGTTTTGCGGTTTCTGGGGAAACGCAGCCGATAGTGATGAATATATGCTTTGCGGTATGCCATTTATAGGGCCAAAGCGGTCACTGAGTGTATCTTTTATGGACGGAAGGTTTTGGTTGTTCTTTGGTGATTTGGCAGAGGTCGATTCAGGAATGGATTGCAACGCGGGGAGCGTGTCTCCAGCATCGCGACCTTGCGTGGATATCGTATATTGTCTTAGATTAGGGGAGGTGGCTACCAATTCATTTGCGCGTCCGCGGGTCTGGGATTCCAGAATTGGAGATGAAATCATCCCGCTAGGCAGTTGGGCCGCAGTCGCCTGGGGTTCTAGGAAACTTGGCGGTCGAGATGGTGGGCGGATCTCTCCATCAAAAGTTCTCTCTATTTTGCCACGCGGCCCTTGAGATTCTGTTGGGAGGTCATTTGCAATAATTAAATCCAACGCATGCTGGGCTGTCTGCCGGGCATGGGAACTAAGAATATCTGGCATGGAAGCTTCGTGTAGCCCCCTCCCTACGTCCGGAGAACGATAGTCATCAGGGCTACCGGGTTCGGGCGGCGAATCAGTTGGCAGGGGTATCTGACCAAGTTCGTGGGCAAGTTGCGCATTGGTTAAGTTTTTGAGAATCAACTCGTCGCTAAGTGATGGCAGGAGTCTTTTGCGCCGTCGCCCAGAATCCTTACTGTCGTGGTCTCCGGGACTTTCCTTGGGTGGGGGGCTGGGCGACGGGATGAATGGCGGAGGGGTGACATGGGGTATGTAGTTGATTTTCGTAGGCTGCAGGCGAGGCGACGCACCAAGGGCATCGTCAGAGTCGTAAACGTCGTCCATCATGGTGGCAGTTTCGCAAGGTGCATCAGAGAATAATAAGGAGGTCTTGTTTATATATATATATGTGTGTGTGTGTGTGTGTGCGTGTGTGTTGGGGGGGGGGGGGGGCGGATGATAGCAATTAATGCAACCCTCGCCCTCTCTTGGGCAGTATCTGCTTTTAAATGGCTCTAATTTTTGTTTAATTTCAAGCGTTTTGAGACCGTATCATCGAGAAATTCTCCCAGAATCTAGTGCGAGGTTAATTGAGGTGTTGTTCAAAAAGAAGTGGTTCTATGGCAGCAAATGATCAGCTATTCAGCACTATTTTATTCAAAGGTCAGTACAAGTCGCGAAGAGAAAGGGATTTAGTTACTACACGATTGTTTTACGATGCGCAAACAACAGAATACATAAAGAAGAAGGAACGAATTCCAGGATAATGGCGATGAAGCGCCAAGGGCAAAGCGCTAGGAAGAGCAGATAGATAGATGGATCTGAGAATATATGACATGACTAGGAGTGAAGCAGGTGGATGTGGAATTAGGAGAGAAAGGCTGGAGCAACTCGGATTGCGAGTGGGTCGGGAAGATAGATAGATGGAAGTGTATCTTATAGGCGTTTGGGATATAGTCGACGTAGCGCGGAACAGTACCAGAAGGATCGGAAATAGAGGTCAAGGAAAGTGGAATATACCATTAACTCCGGCTCTCCGCTGAAGAAAAGAGGTATTTTAGGACCGCAAAGATGGATTAAATGTTGAGAGAAAATATTGGTGTTTAGTCGAGCCGACGGCGGAGGCTTAGTGGAGAGCGGTTAAGCTGCCACACAATGGGCGGAGGAAGGTGAGCAAACACGGGTGAGCATGACGACGTGACGAAGGATTGGCTCGAGGCAAGGGGGATGGAGGGCACAATGTTGGGGAGGGAGCAAGGTTGACTGTTCAGGATCGGTAGAGTTGCCTGGAAGGGGGATGGAGAGGGAGATAAAAGACGGAGACGGAGGTGGAGACGAAAGTGGATTGGCGCGAAGAGAGAGAGGGATAAGAGGAGAAAAGAGGATAAGAGATGAACGTGAATATTGCGAGACAAGCAGAGAGAGGATTTAAGATGCTGGTGGTGATAGAAGTTGTGGTCGAGGTTGAAGTTGCTCGTTCGTGTATGATTTGTTTTTGCGGCCGTCGAGGGCTTGGGACCAGATGCAACTGGCAAGTGCGGCTAGGCTAACCCTTGAACTTTAGGGGAGTCGCTGCCCACCGTCGCTAGCGGGCGCACTCTAATGCAGAGCCTCACTTGTCGGCTGACGACATCTGCGTCGCTACACAAACTATGTACTACACCTACGGTATATCTAGATGAGAAGCAGTTAAGCAGAGGATAAGAACAATTAACAGCAAAGGATGGGTATTCCCGCTGTTAACTAACCAGTTATCGTTCCTACTGGCACCAGAAAATATATTCTATCTGAACATACCAAATCGCCAATATCCGCCCTTCAAAGCCAGCCCCCCTTGACCCTAGATTGCTCACCACTACCAGAGAAGAGAGAGGGAGGGGGGGGGGGGGGGGGGGTGCTTTTAGCCAAAAATTGGTGCAAGAAAGTTAGGTGGCTTCAAAGCTCGGGGTAAGGGAAGCACGATGTGAAATCAGATCCTCTGGCGATACCGGTGATGTTGGTGTTTGAAGAAAGAGGAGGGTACTCAGCAATTGGATGCTTATGTTGTTGATTGAGGTTACGCGCAGCTGTCCCATCTAAAGTCCGTCTTGGGAAAGGAGCGCGGCCCAGCGGTCAACTACACGCCCGGGGGATTGTAGAAGAACAGTTGAGAAAATCCTCCCCTGCCATTTTTCATTTCTCGACGGACTAAGTGCATCTATCAACGGCATTTAAAGTTCCCTTGACAAATAATCAATCCCCTTGTGGGGGGACTGGTCAACGCCATTATTGTCTAGTTGATCCCCCCTTATGGAACAGAATAATATCCCTCAATTGAATCGATGCCAGTTGCCTGCGCCACCATTGCGTCCCTTTTCTACGATACGGCTCATGTTTTTGTCCCACCGTCATCTGCGGCACAGGATGGAATCCTCCACCGTGAAAATAACATACCGAGTAATTATCTAATAAAAACGATGGTTAACTACAGCAAGACCTCCTTTAAATCTTCCAAGTCTCCCCGTCCTCTTTATCTCTCTGATCACTCTTCGAGTCCTAAACCATCTCAACCAAGGGGCGATGATGAAGAGAGCAAGAGAGTGGCCTTGCATTTTCAACACTAACGACAGGTGCTAAGGTGCCATGACGAAGAAAAAAAGAAAGCAAACGGAATACATACTGACGCCTGCGTGCACCGCAGATCGAGATTATGGCTCCATTTCTAGAGCCCGCTACTGGACCATGGATGGTTGACGCTAACGCCGCGGGATTTCCACTCCAGTTATTATTATCATCGGAAATGGACTGCTTTGCGTGAATGCTTTTAGTTGAAGGATATGGGAAAAATGCTGGGGAGTGTGTTGACAATGTTTCATATAAAATCATTTAACAAAGTAATGTAAAAGACCACGAGTGGTTCGGTGTTTTTTGTCCTGAGCTGAAGAAACATCATCATCAGTGTAATTATGCATTGTTCGGAATAATAATTAGTTAGTTTGATCTTAAAACAGCCACATGCATGGTTGATGACGCTTCAATTTTCTTTCAAGGACTTGGTTTCCTTTTCCTTTTCATTTTTTATTTGTTTTTTATTCTCTTTATTTATTTATTATTATTATTATTATTGCCACAACCCGTTTTTTTTGACGGAGTTAGTAATGAAAAATTATACTAATAAGAATCAGGCACGGCACGGTGTATAAATACCCGTAACATACAAAAAGCATATCTCCTTACGAAACCATCGTTTCCCTCTGATAACCATCTTGGCATCATGTCATCGTGATTCCTCTTTCTGCCCCCTGCAGGTCATTCATGAACCAAAAATACTTCACTTGCTGGCGATACGGAGAAACATCTTTTGAAGTAAACTTCATCCCCAAGAGAGAAAACCATAACATTGGATCTACTTGTTCATGCCATGATTCACGGACGACAGATGCCCAAGAACACGGCTCGATTATCTGGATTAAACTAAACTCTGTATACAACAAGCACATGCAACTTTTTAAGCAGCCAATCGCTGGTTTTTCCTTTTTTTCCTTTTTCCTTTTATTTCCTTTTTTTTAAAAAAAATTTATTTATTATTTATTTATTTGTATTCACTTTGTCTTTTCTATACCTCTTCTCTTTAACAGTTCATCATCGAAAAGGGATCAAACTTACCATTGATTACTATTAATTATTTGATTTTTGTTTGCCCTACACAAGGAGACGGGAGAAAATTATAACAAGTTAAAGCAGAGCAACTCGCAATATCAGACAACATGGTTGCATATTCGCATCCATATTTGCCCTGCCCTTTTGTAACTTATTGCATGTGGACTACAGCAATGGGCATTTATACAAGAAGGCTCCCACCGTTGCGCATACGCATTTCGGTGGACTGGCGGTATTCTAACTCTGGAAGCCACCTGCTCTAATTGACGGCTTGCGGTTTTACCTGGACTGAGTGCACATCAAGATGAATTTGAAAAAAGACTGGGTTCTCGAGAGAAGAAGGCTCGGAAAAATGTATAGCCTACAACGGTATCGAGGCTACCCTGGATATATGCAGCCGGATCTGTGGATAACTAAATATTGGGCAGCAAATGAGCTCTGAAAAGAAAAACAAAGATAAGTCAGAAAAGGCGTTTTCCCCAGTGAGCACTTGGTCGCTGCCACGGTGCCATCTCATCAACAAAATTTCCCGGCATATCTGGGATATCCTGACGCGCAAGTATTACGAATACGAGATTTCACATTGCCCTGGTGTCATTAACTTCAGCGAACTATAATGCCCCGGACTGACTAAAGGACCACACATCATGCTCCTCAAACCTCAGAGATATAGCCAGGACCATGACAGTGTTCTCCACAGCCAGCAGCTTCTCGGTCTATGGGAGTGAAATCGCATGCGGGGTCGTGGAGAAGGAGAGGGGAGGGGAAAGATGGAAGAGATATGTGGAAAACCAAATAATGGCTGAACCAATAGTAGCTGTCATCAAGCCTCCCAAAAGCCATTTTAGATTTGTTTGCATCCACATTTGCAGATAAGGGCATCGACAAACGTTCTAGTGCACTCAATTGCAGCAGGAGGCTCTGCTTCTAAGTTCTTACTCACCGTCCCCCACGGGTCACTAACTAGTAGTTTATGGCTCCATTGGTTCCAAACCATGGACGTGCCGCAGCTGGGAGAGATCGTTCTATCTGCTTCCGCTTCAAGCCATTATAGGTGCAAGTGTCCCAGAGATCCCTCACATGATTGGATTCGACATTAAACAGAGGCTGAGACGGAGAGCCGCACGCTAATGCGGCTGAGCTGATGAGAGAACCATTTCAACACCAACAGAATGTATGTGGATCGCTTTGAACCACAAAGTGTCTGGTTACTTTTAACTGATGAGAAGGAGCAATGATTTGGGAAGAGGGGATACTCTCTTTCTTGCACTATATCGATGTCCCGAACCAATCCATCCGCAATCTTCTCGTTCGTATCCCTTTCGATATGGATGGTACACCCTATGCCACCAACGGCTAAGTTGGTGTAAAAGTGATGACTCATGCTCATGCATATGCGGTACTCTCTCTAGAGAAACTGACAAAAGCTCTAAGGATGATGGTATTGTAGCCATCTACGACATCGTGGCACGAAACCGGAGGCTTCTAGCTATCTATTTCGTGTCACCACTGACGTATCTCTCTGCAGAGTTATTCGAGTGAACCCCACAAAAGAGTAAGCAAAGGATATTCATGAACGCCTATTCCATTGATTTCTGTGTTCAAGGCACTCCGTATCATTAGGAAGCCTCTCAGCTATGAAGTGCCTACCGTAAAATCTCATGTCTGGATTGAGCGATGCGAAGATTATCCCATCTTATTCCAATCGA